TGTCCTCACAGAGGAGAGAGAGCTTGTACCTGAAGGTGGGCCGGGGGTGGGCTCTGCAACTTACCTGGCTGGTTCTTGCTCCTCGTGGCCCAACTGAGGGCTGCTGGGAGCAGGGGGTGGGGCTTGTTGCATGTGCCCGCCCCTTGGGCTCCTTACTGCCGGAGCTCCACTCCTGTGCGCTCCCGCAGGAAATGACCCCCGACTACATCCTCTGGCAGCGAATTCCACATTTCAGTCACTCTCTGTGTCAAGTCGTATTTCCCTTTTGTCCGTCCTGAACCCTACTGCCCATCAGCTCCATTGGATGCCCCCCAGTTCCAGCACTTTGGGGAGTGGTCTTGTGCATCTGCTCTGCGTTCTAACTTTGCATGTTGTTTCAAAGCACGGTAAAAGCAGAAGTATGCAAAATTGCCCCACGCCGTGCTGATTGAATCGTCTGCTGCCCACATCCCTTTTGTCCGTCCTGAACCCTACTGCCCATCAGCTCCATTGGATGCCCCCCCAGTCCCAGCACTTTGGGGGGAGGTCTTGTGCACCTGCTCTGTGTTCTAACTTTGCATGTTGTTTCGAAGCACAGTAAAAGCAGAAGTATGCAAAATTGGCCCACGCTGTGCTGATTGAGTGCCTAGACTGCCCACGAGGCTTTCTGCAGACTGCCACCATGCGGAGGAAGTGGCCACGTGTACTCCCGTTTCCTGTGACGAGTTGGGGGGGGGTGTCGCCTATACTGGGCTAGAGCGTTTCAGGGTCAGCGCAAATAACACCCAGCTCGGCTTAAACTGGCGACTTGCTGTTGGTTAGATAAAAGACTGGAAACTTCGATTGCCAGGATTTCTGCAGACTGCCACCATGCGGAGGAAGTGGCCACGTGTACTCCCTTTTCCTATGACGTGGGTGGTGGGTCGCCTATACTGAGCTAGAGCGTTTCAGGGTTAGCGCAAATAACACCCGGCTCGGCTTAAACTGGCTACTTGCTGTAGGTTTGATAAAAGACTGGAAACTTACAAAACAGCTGGCTACTAAGTGACCTTTGTGTGTGTTCGGTTCTTCTAAAAAAACGAACAACGGCGGGTTGGATTTTCAGAATCGAGAGCAGCATTTCCTTCGTGGGACACGGCTTGTATGACACGTTTTGCCATTGCTTTGCAGAGTATTCCGATTTCGAAGACACTTCTCTCGAGTACCTGGACAGGTGCTCCTCTCCGCTCACCAGGTCCTCCGTCAGCTCGTTAACCCTGCGAAGCACGGCGGCCGAGAAGAATACTTCCTACCAGTACCCGAGGGCTATTCTGTCTGTCGACCTTAGTGGTGAAAGTAGGTCTGCTGTTTCTTGTGCTGAAATCCCCTGCCTGAGTTCTGTTCATCGTGGGGGAAAGTGAGGTCAAACAAACATAGAATCACTGAGTTGGAAGGGGCTACACAGGCCATCTAGTCCAACCCAACCCCCTGCTCAATGCAGGATCAGCCGAGAGCATCCTTGACAAGTGTTTGTCCAGCTGCTGCTTCAAGACTGCCAGCTGATTCCACTGCTGCGCCAGTTTGGTGTAGTGGTTAAGTGCGCGGACTTTAATCTGGGAGAACCGGGTTTGATTCCCCACTCCTCCACTTGCACCTGGCTGGATGACCTTGGGCAAGGCATAGTTCTGTCAGAGCTGTTCTTGAAAAAGAGCCGTTTCTGTCAGAGCTCTCTCAGCCCCACCTGCCTCACGGGGTGTCTGTTGTGGGGAGGGGAAGGGAAAGGAGTTTGTAAGCCGCTCTGAGACTCCCTTGGGTAGTGAAGGGCAGGGTATAAATCCAATCTCTTCTCTTCTTCTTCTTACTGTCAAAAAAGGTTTCCCTAAGATCCAGCCGGTACCTTCCCGCCCTTAATTTAAACCCTCTCCTCTGCATTGCCAAAAGGAACAGCTTCCTTCCCTCTAAGTGACAGCCCTTCAAATACTTAGAGCAGTCATTCCCCCCCCCCCCTCAAACTTCTCTTCTCCAGACCGAACCTTCCCAAATCCCCAGCCTTTCCTCCTAGGGCTTGGTCTCCAGGCCCCCGAATATCCTCGTCACTCTCCTCTGTACCCGCTCCATTCTGTCCACATCATTTTAGAAGTGAGGCCTCTAGAACTGCACACAACACTCCAGGTGTGGCCTGACCAATGCAGTGTACAGCGGGACTATGGCATCTTGTGATTTGGGTGTTATGCCTCTGTTGAGTCGCCCCAAGATCACATTAGCCCTTTTTGTCGCTGCATCACATTGGCTGCTCATATTTAATTTACGGTTCACCCATACCCCAAGATCTTGTTCACACACACCGCTACCCAGAAGTGAATCCCCCTATCCAGTATATGTGTTCCTCATTTTTGTTACCCAGATATAGAACTCGGCAGTTACCCTTGTTATCTTGTCCACCTCCGGCCTCTTTTTCCAGTGTCTTCAGATCTCGTTGAATTCTGTGTCTGTCTTCTGGTGTGTTTGCTGCTTCTCCCAATGTGGTGTCATCTGCAAATTTAATGAGTAGCCCTTCCACACCCTCATCCAGATCATTTTTTAAAATTTGAAAAGTACCGGACCCAGAACTGAGCCCTGTGGCACCCCACTTGGACCCCTTCCTCCATTCAGATGAAATGCCATTGACAACTACTCTCTGAGTGCGGTTCTCCAACCACTTCCCTGTCCACCTAACTATCCTAGAGTCCACCTAACTATCCTAGGTGTACCACTTTAGAGATCACAGTATGGATAACTGTAGCTCTACTGCTTGGCATTGCAACCCAATGAGGTACCATTCAAGTTTCTTGGCAGCCTGCCAGGGGTCTCTGGAAAAGCAGGATGTGGTGGGAGAGTTTTGTCTCTGCCGGCCGGCAGTCAGGAACTGGGGGTGGGAGAAGGATTTCTGCCACTCAGCACAGAAGTTCAGCATACCCACTGTGGCTGTGTGGCTGTAGACAGTCCTCTAAACTTGTCTTTTTTATTTTTTAATGTTTTTTAAATACTTTTTTACAATGCACATATCTCGATAAAACATAACCACAACAGGGAGATAGATATAAATTACAGCAAGATAACAATGGAAACATTGGAAGAGTACAATTTATAAATTTAACATGACAGACCCGGCTGTTAACTATTCTTGCTATGTTTTTTGTCTCTGCCGGCCGGCAGTCAGGAACTGGGGGTGGGGGAAGGATTTCTGCCACTCAGCACAGAAGTTCAGCATACCCACTGTGGCTGTGTGGCTGTAGACAGTCCTCTAAACGTGTCTGAGTACCCGCACTCTGTTTGCTCATAGAGCTCGTTCGGTCCCACTTGTCTTGAACACTGTGTATGACAATTGAGAAATGCTTCCTAATGTTGACTCACAACGCATATCCTTTACACTTCCTCCTTTCTCTTACACTTGGTGGATTTATAACAGCTGGGCACTCCATTTTCAGCATTTCCTTCAGTTAAAAAATGTGTAGTCTTGTTAAAGAAGGTAAAAAAACAACAACCCATGTGCTGTGTAAAGTTTTCTAGCTGTGGGAGGGATGGAGCTGTATTGGTGTTTAAAACGAGAGATTCTGTTCACTAAGTGTTCAAAAGAGCACCTCTGTGTTCAGTAAGCGATCCCTGCCCAAATGCGCACTTCAACAGGGGGATGTCACCTTGTTCTCATCTCTTGAAGTCCACGGGTACCCTCTCGACAAATACCACCTCTGTCTCCCTTCTGAATTTCAGACCTCTCGGACATGGAGTTTTTGGACGACTCTTCTACCGAGAGTTTGCTGCTGAGCGGCGATGAGTACAATCAGGACTTTGATTCAACCAATTTTGAAGACTCTCAGGACGAAGAGGACACTCTTAACGAAATCGTCCGGTGTATCTGTGAAATGGATGAGGAAAATGGCTTCATGATTCAGGTCAGAAACTCGCTGCTTACAGTCAGGTTTTCTACAAGAATTCCCGTCCCTCCCCCCCCTGGTAAAGACTTAATGATATGTTGCAGGCAGCTTCCAACTACCACATGCTGTCTTGATGATAATAATTGCAGTCAATTCTTAGAGCCTGTGTAGTGTTTCCAGCCCTGACCTGGATAGCCCAGGCTTGGCCGATCTTGTCAGATCTCAGAAGCTAAGCAGGGTCGGGCTTGGCTAGTATTTGGATGGGCGACCTGGAATACCAGGGGCGTGGCACAGAGGCAGGCAGTGGCAAACCACCTCTGTCCGCCTCCAGGGAGTCGCCAACCAAATTTGTACTTTCGTCGGTTCCTGGTTGATTCCAACTGCGAAGGTAAAGCCCACTTGGTTTTGTAGGTTGTGGCCTTTTTTGCTGTCTAACAAGCCGCTTGCTAAGCTTATCTTCTCAGCAATAGTGAAGCCTGCACATACACATGGCTAGGAAAGAGCAAGAGTCCATGCAGTACCTTAAAGACTAACAAAATATGTGGCAGGGGATGATCTTATCCCCTGCCACATATTTTGTCAGTGGCCAAGTTTGCAGATGGCACCAAATTATTCCGGATGGTGGAAACCAAGGCTGACTTTGAGGAGCTCCAAGAGGACCTCCACAAACTGGGAGAGTGGGTCACAGTGTGGCCGGTGAAGATCTCAGAAGCTAAGCAGGGTCGGGCTTGGCTAGTATTTGGATGGGCGACCTGGAATACCAGGGGCGTGGCACAGAAGCAGGCAGTGGCAAAACCACCTCTGTCCGCCTCCTGCCTTGAAAACCCCAGGGAGTCGCCAACCAATTTTGTACTTTCGTCGGTTCCTGGTTGATTCCAACTGTGAAGGTAAAGCCCACTTGGTTTTGTGGGTTGTGGCCTTTTTTGTTGTTGAACAAGCCGCTTGCTAAGCTTCTCTACTCAGCAGTAGTGAAGCCTGCACATACACATTGCTAGGAAAGAGCAAGAGTCCAGCAGTACCTTAAACACTAACAAAATATGTGGCAGGGGATGGGCTCAGTCTCCAGACCCCTGATCATCCTTGTCGCTCTCTTCTGCACCCTCTCGATTTTGCCCACATCCTTTTTGAGGTGAGGCCTCCAGAACTGCACACAGGACTCCAGGTGCAGCCTGACCAAGACAGCATACAGAGGGGCTACGACCTCCTGCGATTTCGATGCTGTGGCCCTTTTAATACAACTCAAGACTTCAGCCACTGGGCACTGCTTGGCTGGTCCGAAGTTGAAATTACATTCATTATTATAAAAAAAGAGGGAATTCTTGACCCTGTGCAAACCTTACAGAGCCACTGATAGGGTTCTGCTAAGTCTGCCTTGGCATGCTGAAATCGGGTCAAGGGGTAGGCAGTCGTTTTCAGTGGGGGCACCATCACCACGGAATCAGGGACGGCGGAGAGTGCCATCGAATCGCAGCTGACTTGTGTTGACCCTGAAGGGCGTTCAAGGCAAGAGACATTCAGAGGTGGTTTGCCGGAAACCAAGATGATGTGGGGGTTGGAGCGCCTTCCCTGTGAGGAAGAGCCTGGGACTTTCCAGTTCAGAAAAGAGACAACTCAGAGGGGACGTGAAAGAGGTTTGCAAAGTGATGCCTGGGGTGGAGAGACTCGACAGAGAGAAGTTTTTCCTCCCTCCCCCAAAAGACTAGAGCTCGAGGGCATCCAATGGAGCTGATGGGCTCCAATGAAGCTGATGGGCAGTAGGTTCAGGAGAGACAAAAGGGAATACCTCTTTACACAGAGAATGATTGAAATGTGGAATTCACTGCCAGAGGATGTAGTCATGAAACAGCTTTAAAAGGGATTTATATAGATTCATGGAGGATAAGTCTGACAGTGGCTACTAGCAGTGGTGACTGAAGGGAACCTCCACATTCAGAGGCACGAAGCCTCTGAATCCCAGAGCCAGGAGGCAACCCCAGGGGAAGGCCGCTCTGCCCTGTTGTGGGACCTCCAGAGGAACTGGTTGGCCACTGTGTGGGACAGGATGCTGAACTAGATGATGATTGGTCTGATCCAGCAGGGCTCTTCTTATGTTTTTTTTTATCAACCACATGCCACATTCACTGAAATGTAGCTCAACTGAGTTAATTCTCATAGTTTTAATCCAACAGTTGGAGATGCCAAAGATATAATCTGGGTCCCCAAATCCCCCTGCAGTCTCCCCCTTTCTTCACGTCGCAGGAAGGTACTGAAGAATGAAGTATTCTCCTCAGAAGAATTGTTACCTCAGTTTCTCCTCAGAAGAATTGTTACCTCAGTTTCTCCTCAGAAGTATTGTTACCTCAGTTTGTCCTCAGAATAAGTGTTGCCTCAGTTTCCCCTCAGAAGAATTGTTACCTCAGTTTCTCCTCAGAAGTATTGTTACCTCAGTTTGTCCTCAGAATAAGTGTTACCTCAGTTTCTCCTCAGAAGAATTACTTCTGCATTTGAGGGCTGTACTGAAGGCCTGATACACCTTCTGTGTGTTGTCTTGTCCTTCCATGGAGTTGCAGCCTACCCACAAGCCATGGCAGTGGGTTCTTGCTTACAATCTTTGAACCATCAAACAACCAGTCTGCTTGTAAAAGAACAAGTTTGGCTTTTCAAAAAGTTTATGTTCGGTTAACTGACCTCTGAGGTCTTCATGTGGAAAAAGCAGCTCCTCCACATTTCGCAATATCAGTTACGTTGATGTGATTTGGAGAGCAGGTTCTGGGAAATCAGATGTGGAGTAGCGTGGAAAAGAGTGCTTAGTTCTTCTCTCATGCTCACCTCTCACGTGACAGAAATCCTCAAGGCAGAGAGAGGGAGAGAGAATTGGCAGCCTTTTCTTTTTCAGAAAATGTTGGTTCTTTCAGATGTTTCTTCCTATCTCTGGAAAAAATAACATTCTCCTGTTTAGTATCAAAACCAAAGCTATCATGTTGCAAAGGTAGCATTCGTGGTTTTAAAAAAAATTCTGATTAGTGTGTTGGGGTGAAAAGTTACCGTTCTCGGCGTTTGCCCGAGCTTTTGCTTCAAAATCTGAAATGAATTTGTATTTACAGTATGGTAGTCAATCTTACTCTCTGTGTGCTGACAGAAGCAAGTCATGAAACCGTGTCCCTCCTGTCCCCTCACTGTCTCCTTCTTTTATCCTCACCACAGTGTGAAGAGTGCCTATGTTGGCAGCACAGTGTATGCATGGGGTTGTTGGAAGACAGCATTCCGGAGCAGTACATCTGCTACATTTGCAGGGACCCGCCTGGTATGAGTAAATTTTCAAACTAAGTTCTGAAGTTTCCAGCACTTGTACTTTGCCATTCTAGCTTTTGTGGTTCTCACCTGCCGGGTTCTCTGGTTACTGGTTTATATGTTGCTCAAGAGCCAGTTTGGTGTAGTGGTTAAGTGTGCGGACTCTAATCTGGGAGAACCGGGTTTGATTCCCCACTCCTCCACTCGCAGCTGCTGGATGACCTTGGGCAAGCCGTAGTTCTGATAAGAGCTGTTCTTGAAAAAGAGCAGTTTCTGTCAGAGCTCTCTCGGCCCCACCTACCCCACAGGGTGTCTGTTGTGGGGAGGGGAAGGGAAAGGAGTTCGTAAGTCGCTCTGAGACACCTTTGGGTAGTGAAGGGTGGGGTATAAATCCAATCTCTTCTTCTTCTTCTTTCCCCATTCCATCCCAGTGGTGATGTAATTCTGTATTCTGTCCCTACATGTTTGTATGGTCACTTGCTGGTCATCTGCCGTATTTCTTAAACGATTTATAGTCCACCTCGTTACATAGTCTCTGTACAGGTAACATAAAGGTCTAAATATCCCAGGTGAAATAATATCCAGTAAAACTCAATGAATATGTATCCTTCTACCTGCTTAACCCCTATTATTTCCCACTTGCCCCCTCCTCAGCTGTTCTAGATAGGGTCTTACAGTGTTTCTGAAATGCTTAAGTTCTGACTTCAGCAAATTTCCAATGAGAGGTAGCCCAAACTGGGGGCGGGAGGGGGGTGTTGTCACCAGCAACTGTGCATCCAGATGTCCTTGTTAATGGGGAGCCATTGACCGCTCCAAGGTGATCTCAGTGGGACATGAGGAGCAGGAGAAGACAGTGTCTGAAGGACATTTACATTTGTAAGTAAAAAACTACTTGCCTTCACTTGCGCCCAGAAGACGGCAGGCAGAAAACGTACAGCTTTTTCTTCACTTATTGCAGTGGGTAAACACTACTGCGGTGGCTCAAGTGGTTAAGATGCTGAACTGCAGCCTGTGGAAGGTCAGTAGTTCAGCAGTTCGAGACCCGGGTGCCGCATGACGGAGTGAGCTCCCGTCTCTAGTTCCAGCTCCTGCCAACCTAGCAGTTCGAAAGCAAGACATTGCAAGTAGATAAATAGGTACCACTTCGGTGGGAAGGTAACAGCGTTCTGTGCGCCTTGGTGTTTAGTCATGCTGGCCACATGACCACGGAAACGTCTTCAGACAGCGCTGGCTCTTCGGCTTGGAAACGGAGATGAGCACCGCAACCCTAGAGTCAGACTCGACTGGCTTTCGAGCAAGGGAACCTTTACCTTTAAACACTACTGCTGACCGTAGACACAGCTGCGAATCCAGGAATATCCAAAGATAATGAAATTGTGTAACGTGTGTGTGGGGGGGGGCAGTCTGTGTCATCTGACTTAAGCAGGCCTACCTACCTTCTAAACATAAATATTGATCTGCATTTTATGGTCACTTCCAGTTACAAGTGTAATTACATTGGAACAGGTGTGAGTGGCTCATGAGTTAAAGGTGTACGCATTTCTTAAAAATCAGATTAATTTCAGACATGCTTTTCATTGTCTTGAATGTTGAGGACTCTTTTTTACTGGGTTTTTCTTACCATTTTAGTCATCCCCCCCCCCCAAGCCTCAGGGAGGGAGGGAGCGTGAGGAAGATGGTCTTGCCAAACAGCTCTTTTTTTTTTTAGGGGGTGTGTGTCTCCCTTCCTTTAAATTTAAAGGGCTCTTATTTTCTATGGGATGATTTGGTCTCCAAAATCAGAAGCCGAGGTCTACTACCCACAGGCAGTAATGAGGACATTGTCTCCTATGGATAGACCTGTCCCATTTATCTCCCATAGAAATAATATTGACTCCATTATATCCTGTGGTGGTTAGACAAAGGCTGGGCGGCCAGGTCTACCCAATCAGCTGTTAGTTAGTGCATCCAGACTGTTTAAAATTTAAAGGACTACTGTTTTTTATGGGGGGGTGGCCCTTTAAAATATAAAGGGAGGAAGCCACTGCTAAACAGTGGACACACACGAACCTGCCTTATACTGAATCAGACCCTTGGCCCATCAAAGTCAGTACTGTCTGCTCAGTCTGCCAATGGTTCTCCAGGGTCCCAGGCAGAGGTCTTTCCCATCACCTCCTGCCTGGTCCTTTTAACTGGAGATGCTGGGGATTGAACTTGGGACCTTCTGCATGCCAAGCAGAGGTTCTCCCACTGAGCCACAGTCCCTTCCCAGCTTCCTCTCTCTCCCTCTTGGCTCCTGGTTCCCAAAACACATGTGAAATTCTGGGAGACCGATTTTCTTTACTCTTGAAACTTGGGAGCATTTTGGGTCATTTCAGATACCCTTGGGATTACCTGAAACAGGTAATTTCCAGTTTATTTTCAGTTTACATGTATCTGGATGCATACCAATACTACTCCTGAGTGTCTATTTCATTCCTTATAAAAGGAATATTATGGTCTCCAGAGTGTGTATAATGGGAGCAAAATGGGCATTGGCACACGCGGTGTTGTATACTTTCCCCCGTGAAGTTATTCACTGTGCAGGAAAAAGGCCTCTAAATTGGCCTCCTTGACCCTGATCGGATTTCTCCCCTTGCTCGCAGGTCAGAGATGGAGTGCCAAGTATCTCTATGATAAAGACTGGTTGAACAGCGGCCACATGTGCGGCCTCTCGTTTTTGAAAGAGAACTACTCTCACTTAAATGCCAAAAAGATAGTGTCAACACATCACCTCCTGGCTGACGTGTACAGTGTTACGGAAATACTCCGAGGACTGCAGTTGAAGATTGGGATTCTCAAGTAAGAGACTTCTAGTGTAACTTGATTTCCCTTTTTCTCCCTCCCCCCCCCTTTCCCTCATCCTGCCCCAGCAGCGGTGGGGATCTGGGACGATGTGTATTTTATCTTAAGTGCAATAAAATGTTCAGGGCTATTTTTGGGCAGGAACGGCGTTCCGGCTGGCTCCTAAATTGGCCACACCCAGCAGGAACTCATTAGCATAATAGGCCACACCCAACAGCAGGAACTCATTAGGATTGGCTACGTTAGGGGTGTGTGGCCTAACATGCAAAGGAGTTCCTGCTACAAAAAAGGCCCTGGGTTTTGACAACAAACAAGGTCAACAGAATAAGAAGCAAAAGGTGGGTGTGGCTGGATGACCACACTTCTGGTAACACGGGGTGTGGCCTAATATGCTAATGAGCTGTGCTGTCATGGGTGTGGCCTAATATGCTAATGAGTTCCTGCTGTTGGGTATGGCCTATTATGCTAATGAGCTCCTGCTGGACTTTTTCTACAAAAAAGCCCTGAAAATGCTCATTAAGAATCTTGGTAGTAATATGGCTTGAATGTAAAAACTGGAGAAACGGTGACCCATTCAGCCTTTTAGCATAGATTTGTGTCCATGAGACACACACCACCCTGCCCTTTGTAGCGATGTACTTTTCCTTTCCATGCTGTTTCAACTAGCTACTGTTAAACTGGACCAACTCTGTGTTGAGGTAGCTTGAGGGGACAGGTTTTGGAGGAGCGGCAACGTTCTTTATGCCTCCAGCCAGTCATCTACCTGTTCTCTTTACCACCGCACTTTCCCAGACCTCTTCCAGTGGTTCACAGCAAGACGTACAAGCCACCTCCTGAACACTGTACCCCTGCTGACTGAAGGGAGCATCCTTGTACAGAGGCAGCAGACCTCTGAATACCACTGCTGGGAAGCCATGGCAACAGGGGAGAGGGTCCTCAGTCTCTATGCCATGTTTGGCACATGAGGGCCCGTGACTGGTCACTGAGTGATACAGAATGTTGACTAGATGGACTACTGGTCTGATCCAACAGGGGACTTCTTATGCTCTTAACACTCACAAGGTTCCTCCTCCCTACGTGGACTGACTCTGTAGCCGTTACACCATCCCAGTCATCTGGAGCATCTTGGTCCAAAAGGGCTCAAAACACGATCAGCTGTGTGGCTTATCCTTTTGGCACAATTCATATTCACCAAGCTGGTCCCAGCTACCATTGGCTATGGAGATAGTTTCAGGTGGATGGCTATGCTGGTTAGCAGTGGAAGAGCCAGGTTCGAGTCTAGTAGCGCCTTAAATCTAGCTGTTCATTGGCTACAGATTTACTCATAGGCTGGACACATTCTGACAACTTAGTTTCACTTCTCTGCAGCGGCTGCATGTTCTCCTGTTGGGCAGCTACCTCCGTGAATCTGTCCGTAGATCTGTAAAAACTGTACCTAAGGGTAAACTTCCCGTCTACTTCAACCAAGGCTACTTTGGGTACCAGGAAAAAACACACACACAAACCCTGTGATATGAACACTATTAAGAAGATTTATGTAACTTTTTAGACTTTGTAAAATTGCAAAATGTTTTTTCAGCATTCTCAATTATACAATATTGTAAAAAAAAGTCCAGTATAGTCCAACATAAAGTAATGCTACTACTAAACTAAATAGTGCTTAGGAGAGCATAGCCAACAAAATCTTTGAACCTATTGGGTTGCTCCTCATATAAACACTTATTATGGAACCAGAAGTAAGTTTTCTAAAAACTAAGTTATTAAATCATTATAGTTTAAAATAACTAATTTCCATGCAGCTACATGTGAATTTTCATTGATTATGGTTTATTCCAGGATATTATGAAGGAAATTACAATACTGAGCTGGATTAAGAAGCTGACCCCCTCCTTACAATATAGGATTACATCTGAGGAAGACTGTAAAGTTGAAATGAGTTCATAACCGTGTACTCATTATGTTGGACTATATTGGACCTTTTTTTTTACAATATTGTATAATTGAGAATGCTGAAAAAGCTTTTTGCAATTTTATAAAGTCTAAAAAGTTATATAAATCTTCTTAATAGTGTTCATATCACAGGGTTTGTTTGTGTGTTTTTTCCTGTTGGATACCTGTGATCCCTCTTGTTTTGTGCTACTTTGGGTACCAGCCTGACACCTGCAACTCATTTTTTTCCTTCCTCCTAGGAATAAACATCACCCCGACCTTCATCTGTGCGCTTACACTGGTGTGCGAAAAGAGCAAGACCAAAAAACTCTTGGATTGGAAAGAAGGGTATTGGCTGTGCCAAATACCATTAACCTCCCTGAAAGGACAGGTTGTGGTCAAAACCATAAAGAGCCCCCTAGTTTGCCCCCAAAGATGGAGGAAACGTACATTACGAGTGAGCATAGTTACCAGAAACCGCAGAGTTTTGTTCCGGACTGCAGAATGATGAACGATCCCATGAGCTCAGACGACGACGCTAGCAGCTTTGAGGACGATCGCGAACTTCTCTTAGAGGATAAAAACTGTTTACAATACGCGTCTAAAGAAGATGGTTTCGGCTATCAGGTAAAACTACCCATTCATCTGTGTAATCTTTCAGGACTTCAGGTTGTCTTCTGGTAGAACGGTAGACCAGTCTGTAGCATCTTTTGTTTGCAGCACATCAGATCGGTTGAGGGATGGGAAAGTTACAGACAGTTTTAAGAGAGAGGACTCCTTTAAGTCTATTTTGAATTTGTGCTTAGGAAGACTGAGCTCTTAAAACTTTTGTACAATTAAGGAAGACTGATATTAATAAAGGGGTTGTGCAATATCTTTTGTGATATATAAAGAGACGATACTTAGATGTTTGGATATATGATCCTTTCTATGTATTAATGTGTATATGAGAATTAACATAATTGTGAATAATTTGTAAGAAATATTTAAAAAGTAATATATAAATACTGGGGGGGGGGATTACTTGAAATCATTTGTAATCGTCTGTAGCACGGTATTTGCTGACTTTTGGGAGCTCAAACACTGTCACGTGGGCAGAGCCCCGCTCAGTGTACGCACCTGGTAGGTGGCGATGGAGCAACAGGGAAACCTTGGAAGTTCCAAAAACTTTCCATAGTCGTTGTTTTCACTTCATTGAGTAGCACAAATCAGCAAAACATTGGTCTTGTTTGTCTTTCCCGGAACTGATCACTGGTGTATTCAGTATCAAGGGGCACAGCAGGCATGATGCTTTTCTGGCACAGGGGTGCTTCTGGACGAGAGGCACACAGCAGCACGTGCCTCTACTGCAAGGTTCCCTGGTCTCTTTCAGCCTGCGGGCAGCTTTGGAATTCTGACACAGTGTGGTGGGCACAGCCACAAAACAGCATTTTGAAAGATCTGCCTAACCTATGAAATCTCCACTAGCCAATCAGAAGTCTTGCCAGTCAAAAGCCGCACCTGGCCCGGCCCACTTTCTAAGGGCACTGCATCCCTTAATTTTTGTTTTTGTTTTTTTGGAGTCCTTGAGGTGTCCACTAGTAGTTTGACACGAGCTTGGTGAAACTTGGTGGTCGCCAGAAAAGGTGTTGGTGGATGCCATGGCACCCACGGCAGGCTTGTAGCTACAGTGGGGCTATTCGGGGTTCCGCCCTCTTTCTTAAAGGCCCAGCCCCACAGAGCAATCGTTTAAAGCCTACCGCTTGGGTTTCAAACCAGCAAAAGAGGAAGGGGTGCCAGCAATCTATAAACCTTGGTCCACTCAGTTGAACTGAACAGCTCCAGAAATTCATCACAATATCTGTACTGAGTTGGTTCCAGAGGATAACAGAAAACAGGTATTACACGCAGATGAACTTTCTTTGGAGAATTGTGTGCAAAGTCTTCAGTTTCACGAACTCCAGGGGATTTCTACAGCCTAGCTTTCTGATGAGAAGGGGCCATGGCTCAGTGCTAAGGCACCAAGCAGGAGGTCCTGGGTTCAGTCCCCAGCATCTCCAGTTAAATAGATCTGGTGATGTGAAAGACCCCGGAGAGCTGCTGCCAGTCAGAGTAGGCAATATTGATCATGATAGAACAATGGCCTGACTGCGTCCCTGTTCACATGGCACGGTGAACACACAAAGGTCCTGCATGTTCATTTATTTGTAAGAGCCAAAAGTACAGTTGTGTACAGACAGAAAAATAATGGCAGCCCCACCAGGGGAAAAAAAATTGCCCCACAACATACAAAATCCTGGCTACGGGCCTGACTCACAAAGAGAGAGAGAGAGAAGAAGAAGAGATTGTATTTATACCCTGCCCTTCAGTACCCAAAGGAGTCTCAGAGCAGCCTACCTCCTTTCCCTTCCTCTCCCCACAACAGACACCCTGTGAGGTAGGTGGGGCTGAGAGAGCTCTCTCAAGAACTGCTCTTTCCAGAATAGCTCTGACCGAACTTGTGACTGACCCAAGGTCACACCAGCAGCTGCACGTGGTGGAGTGGGGAATCAAACCCAGTTCTCCCAGATCAGAGTCTGCGTTCCTAACTACACCAAAGTGACACCATGTTGGGACCTCCTGCTGTACTGAATCCACGTGGTACATTTTGTACAGAGCCCCTTAAGCCAGAAGCCTCTGTGGAACAGCCATCTCCAGAGAACCCCATTGGAGCCCTCTAAGTGCCTCCACCCCCCACCCTCTCAGCCGATGGCAGCCCTCGGCTTCTTTGTAACACAGAAGAGATAGACGAGGGAGTTTCAGCGGAAGAGACTTCACAGCTTCTCCCGCGGCCCTTTCTGCTGCTTTGAGAAGAGGCAGGGACCAGTTGAGAGGGAGCCAGCTATGGAAGGAAGCCCTGTAGTGGCTCTCAGAGCCAGTTGCTGCCACAGCTGCCTGGAGGCTTCTGACCCCAAACCCTTGGGAGAACTGCAGACTCATTCACACTGCTCTGAAGTAATGCCAGTTTTAGACACTGTTGCACGTGAACGGGCTCAAATGTGACTTTTCCAGTGAAGTTGTAATGAAGAGGCCCTTGCATGCCTTTTTAAGTGCTTTTTGAGACCTCGAGGTGTGTCCCGTTAGTACTACCCACATAAGACTGGCGAAACTAGTAAAACAGTTTGAGATCCTGTTTGGTGTAGTGGTTAGGAGCACGGACTTTAATCTGGGAGCATTGGTTTGATTCCCCAGTCCTCCACATGCAGCTGCTGGTGTGACCTTGGGTCAGTCACAAGTTCGGTCAGAGCTATTCTGGAAAGAGCAGTTCTCGAGAGAGCTCTCTCAGCCCCACCTACCTCACAGGGTGTCTGTTGTGGGGAGAGGAAGGGAAAGGAGATTGTAAGCTGCTCTGAGACTTCTTTGGGTAGTGAAGGGTGGGGTATAAATCCAATCTCTTCTTCTTCAAAATGGCCCCCTTTGCAATTTGCATTGTCTGTTTTACCGCTGATGATACAAACTTGTTTCAATAGCAGACATGTACCAATCCATGTAAACTGCCTGCTTATGCAGGGGGGGGGGGCTGAAACCTTCACTCAAGAATCAACATAAAAGATTATGCAGTTACATCATTTGAATGTACTGGTCCCCTCCCAGTTCAAGTTTCCAAGGATATGTTTCGTGAGAAATGGAGAATAAGAGGAATCTCATAGTTGTAAACCGGGTGATGGTTACGACAGGAGCCGGGAAGTGCGTCTGGCTGAGAGTTAATACTCAGCTGACTTGGGAAACCTCGGAAGATGTTCAAAGTTTTTGTTTCCCAAGCGCAAGTATTGGGAATCTGCCTCTTCAAGAGAGCTAGCAAGAGGAAAGGGTCTGTTGTTTTGCACGGTTCTGCTCTACGGGAACGATCTATCCACAGCTGACTTTTAACAGCACAGTCCTAAGCAGAGCTTGCCGCCCTATGAAGTCAATGAGCACAGAATGGCGTAACTCTGTGTGGGACTCTCAAGGTCCCACCAGGCAGGAGGGTTAAGCATGTGCTCAGCTGCTGGCTCTTCCTGCCAGCACAGAAAATGCATGTTCCTTACTGCGAGATCCGCATTTCGTGACTTCCATTGCCGTCCTTCATAGCCCTTTCTGTACGTTTCATTAAGGCGTGTCCTCAACAGTGGAGAAACCACCCTCGAGTGCCTATAAGTACAAGTTTGTCTTCTCGTTTAAGAGCAGCTACCGTGCCTGATCTAGGGTTGCCAGGTCTGACTCAGGAAATATCTGGGGACTTTGGGGGTGGAGCCAGGAGCCAGGATATGATGTCACTTTTGTGGTGTCACATCCTGTGATGTCACTTCCAGGACCACCACCACCCCAATATCCAGAAGGTTCCTGTGCTTCCATGGTAGGCGCTTGTGCTTCTAACACAGTGGTTGCTCTCAACTCATTCTCCACCCAAGCCACACGCACGGGTACCATTTAGGGTTTCCAGGAGAGGCTGACAAGCCAGCGGGGGACTTTCCAGGAGCCTTCAGGAGAGGGGAGGGAAGAAGCACCATTGAACTCTGAAGAGAGTTCTGGCCGTCACATTTAAAGGGACTGCATTCCTTTTAAATGCCTTCCCTCCATTGGAAATAGTGGAGGATGGGGGCATCTTCTTTTGAGGCTCATTGAATTGGACCCCTGGTCCATTTTTTTTAAAACTTGGGGGGGGGGGTTGAGGAGAGGTATCAGATGCTATGCTGAAAATTTGGTGCCTCTACCTCAAAAAACAGCCCCCTCCCAAGCCCCAGATACCCACAGATCGATTCTCCATTATACCCTATGGTGACCAGTCTCCATAGGGTGTAATGGCGTGCCCAGCAGAATTTCCTCCCCCTCCCCCCGCTTTCTGATAACCCTGAAGCGCGGGGGAGGGCCTCCAAACCAGGGGATCCCCTGCCCTTAACTGGGGATTGGCAACCCGAGCTTGATCTTCCTCCTGCCAATTCTAGTAGAGTTGCCCGAAATGACCATGGTCAGGTGGTGCCAGACAACTGTGGCCTTAAAAGACGACAAAGATTTTCTGTCCAAATCCCACGATGGCCAAATATTCGTGGGCCGGGTGCGCTGTCGAACTGTGACCTTACAACATGACATAGGATGGGTTTGTTTGTTTTTTGCTAACTCGATTTTGTTGTGCTGTGATTTGCGCAGAGGCACTTGGCCGAAGGGAACACCGTGTTCATATTTAATGAGAAAAGGGGAGCCGAAGAACACGTGGACGCTCGTCTTCAGTGGCAGCTAAACCTCCTCACCCACATAGAGAATGTACAGAACGAAGTCACCACCAGGATGGACCTGATCGAGAAGGAAGTAGACGGTAACTGTCTTCAGGCACTAAGAGCACGTGTCGAGATCGGGGCCTCTCCCCCTCGGAAAGGCTCTCTGAGGGTAGCAGTGGCCACTTCCGTGTTAATTCAAGCACCAAAGTGTTTGTGTTTTACCCAGCTGGAGTTATTTACTCAAATAATTTATTGCCACTTAAATTAACTTGGGGCGGGGTGGGGGGCATGTTTTATTCCAATTTCCTGTGCCTTAAAGGGATTATATTGAGAGCCAGTTATGCGGTAGCGGTGAGAGCAGGGGTTCTTAACCTCGCAGGGGGTCCATGAACTTGGATTAGGAAAAAAATTACATCTTCATTTTCACTAACGCCTAACTGAAATCCAGCATTTCCTTCTATTTATTTATTTATTTATTTATTTATTTTGTACGATTTATGTCCCGCAGGCGGGCTCAGGGTGGGTTACAGGTCACATGAGGCATGACAGCAAAACAGTAAAGTAAAGGTTCCCTTGCTCGAAAGCCAGTCGAATCCGACTCTAGGGTTGCGGTGCTCATCTCCGTTTCAAAGCCGAAGAGCCAGCACTGTCTGAAGACGTTTCCGTGGTCATGTGGCCGGCATGACTAAACACCAAGGCACACGGAACGCTGTTACCTTCCCACCGAAGTGGTACCTATTTATCTACTTGCAATGTCTTGCTTTCGAACTGCTAGGTTGGCAGGAGCTGGAACTAGAGACGGGAGCTCACTCCGTCTTGCGGCACCTGGGTCTCGAACTGCTGAACTACCGACCTTCCACAGCCTGCAGTTCAGCGTCTTAATCACTTGAGCCACCGCAGCTCCTCTACTTTGTGAGCTACTAGCATTAAAGTTGTGAGTGAGTGATTTGGCAGCTCCACACACAGTATCACAAATATTACAAGTTAAAAGTTTAAAATTCGAAGAGCGCCAAGACCAGCATAAGGCATTGCCTCGATGGCGACGCTATGATGTGCTTCTGAGCAGTGCCGGTGACGTTGGCCACTGGACACAGGCCACGGCTACCGGTAGGGGAGGTCAAGAGACGGCAGAATTTGGACGCTCAGCCGCCTGAACTAAAAGCCCAGCGAAACAGCTCCACCGTGTTGGCAATAAACCAGTAATATTTTTATTAAATATTTTGATAAGTGTATTTCAGTATAATTGGTTTCCTTTGTTAACCCTATGTACTTTATTTTGTGCATAGTCAGTCTTGCTGACTTAGACTGCCAGCGGGTCTCCGGGGTCTCAGGCTGAGGTCTTTCACATCACCTCCTGCCGGGTCCTGAATTGCTCATAGGCTTCACCAGACCGCCAGAGGGGTCCGCGGCACACACACACACAAAAAGGTTAAGAACCCCTGCATTAGATGGTCGGGCTGGGATGCGCCCTCTAAGCTGTGGAGTCTTGTGAGGAAGAATTCTATTTTGTGAGCTACCGGCGTTCAAGTTGTGAGCGAGCGATTGGGCTGCTGCACAAATTAGTGTGCTCCGGAGCCATCCTTCCTGAGCGAAGGCAAAAATCTGTGAGCCGGCGGCTGAAAAAATTGTGCGCTAGCTCACACTAACTCAGCTTAGAGGGAACACTGGTCCCGGTTTGACTCCCGCTCTGCACGGAAGCTTACCGGCTGAACTTGGGATAGTCCACAAACTCTCAGGCTGACCTACCTCACAGGGTTGTTGAGAAGGTGAATTGGAGGTCAGGAGAATGATGGGTCCAAAAGGGGGGAAAAAGCAGGATATAAATGAATGGAAGCCCTCCCTCCCCAAGATAGTCAGGCAAAGCTTTCTGAAGCTCTTGGGGGGGAAGGGGGGGCTCTGCCCAACTCTCCACCTCCTCTTCTCTAGACTGAAGAATTTTCATGTCCCTCAGCCTTTCCTCATAGGTCTTGGTCTCCAGGGCCCCCCGATCATCCTTTTCACTCTCCTCTCCAAGGTCCTATATTTTCAGTCCCCACCCAAGATGTGTAATGGAGATAATAAAGGAGAGGGGCTGCGGCTTAGTGGAAGAGCCTCCGCTTGGCACGCAGGTGCTCCAAGGTTCAGTCCCCAGCATCTCCAGTTAACAGGACCAGGTAGGAGGTGATGTGAAAGACCTCAGCCTGAGACCTCGGAGACCCCGTTGGCGGTCCAAGTAGACAGTACTGACCTTGATGAGCCAAGGGTCTGATCAGTTATAAGGCATCTTCATTAGTGCACACGTGTGTGTCAGCTTGACCTTACACAGAATTGCAGAAATAAATAAATGTGCAGCTGTTCATCCAGTGCCCCATGTGCACAGATGTACCTGAGCTCATGCTTTGGATATTTTTGTCTCTAATTGGACCCTCCTGTCCGTCTTCATTGCAGTCTTGGAAAGCTGGCTAGACTTCACTGGAGAATTGGAGCCACCGGATCCCCTGGCCCGATTGCCGCAGCTCAAACGGCGGATCAAGCAGCTCCTATCCGACATGGGGAAGGTCCAGCAAATAGCGACTCTTTGCTCCGTATGACAAACGGAAGACTGGTGGAATATTTAAAGACAAAAACACGATAGGCGCTCGCAAGGAATTCTTAATTTCTCACAATCTGCAAAACTGATGGGGAGGGGCAATTGGAAAGCGAAAAGGAGGCTCGGAGGCTGTTCTTTGATCTGCGCTGGCTCTCTCTCATCCCGAAGATCTCCAGACGGGGGGAAAGGAGGAAACCTGCAAGTAAAATCAAGGATCAAGACAATGGTCTGTGCAAATGCGGAGAAACTGCTTCTTATTTGGAGGCACTCCGGTGTTGAAATCTGCCTGAAGACGTTTTTAAGGTTTTCACGGGTAACAGCAGGGCCTCCCTCTCCTCAGATACCGGATTGAGAAAGTTTCACCCACTAAAGCTTGGCAACATTGGAAGGAGTCATTCTGCAAAGTTTTCTTCCAGTACCGATTGGCGATTTGTCGTCCACAATGTCTTGAAGGATGGAAGACGCCTCCCCCACTTGTCTGGATATTATGCAGGAAGACATGAGAGGGGGGAGCTTGAATAGAGTGAGACTGGTTTTGTGGTGGTCTCTTTATGAGCGTTTTTCTTGGAAGCAAAGTTCTCCCTGCCATGACCTTACGCTCCTTCTAGAAGCAAGAGAGGGGGAGGGTAAGGGGTCCGAAGTGCCAAATAAATGCTTTCGAAACCCATTGAAACAAGAGTGTGAATCGTTCAGGGGGGGGCGTTCCCCTCCCCCCCCCCTCTCCCCTGGCCTCTGAGTTCTCCATAGTGCCAGTAAAACCATCTGGAGTCGCACCTCGTGAACATCCATGTTCACCGTAACTTCAGTATTCCGGGCTCGCAGCACAGTTTTAAATCCCTTTGTCCCAGCGACTCCGGTCCAACGTTAGCTATTTCAAACGGCGTCCTCAGCTGGAATGAGGACCGACGAGCGTTGGAAGCGCCGGTGACCGGCTGTGAAACAGGGCCGCTTCCCACGTTCTTAGTTCTTTGCCTGGAAAAATAAAATATATATAGAAACACACAAATCGTAACATGTATGCCAAGACAGCTTAGCGGTACCTCTGTCCTCATCCCGATAAACCTGTCCCTGTGTTATTTGAAACACTAGAGCGGCCTGCAAGGAGCGCTTGCTGTGAGTTAGAATCGTGTCCATCAACTGAGGATGGATATGGGGAGAATTCCGTTACCCATAAGGGGGCCTCCATCTGCGAGATGGCGAACGAGCCTTCGGAAACCAAAGCCAGCCGACGTGCTGTTTTCAAACAGATGCTGGGCCCTTCCACTTTACCTTTTGCTCACCTGTGGTTTGTTGACACACCCAGTGCTACAGTATACACATTGGAGGTTATGTATATATGTATGTGAGTGTGTATGTGTGATATATATATATATAATATATATATATGCCCATATGCATATTGCATTCTAGAGACATATTTATATCGACATGTCTAGTTTTATTACCGTAGACTCAAGAACTCGGTGACGCACTATTTAAAAACGTCGCCTTTTAACGAGCAGTTTCTATGAAAAAAGAAAATGGAAATAATGTATGTACAGGTTTTGAAATTTGTAAAAAAGCAATTAATTTTTTTTTAAAAAAAAAAAAATCCCATATTTGACTGTTCAGAAGAACCCGCGCAGCGGAGAACGGGCTCCATTCTTGAACTCTTTCTGCCTCCCTGACTGTCTCAGTGCTGGTGATGTATATAAAAAAACACCCCTATATACGAGAGCTGCTCCGTAAGCAGGAAACTTGAAGCTTCCCTTGGGCTAAAAGAGTACAAGCCCCCCCCTGTACATTACGAAGGTATTTAAATTTGCAGATACACTGTTCTATATGTAAGGTACTGTATGTAAAGCTGTTTATTAAACTATTCTGCATACTCTGCATTCTTTCACTCTCATTCACCTGCCTTTAAATACAGACCGTATAAAATCCTTCTCATAACCCTGAAAAAGGGAGAGCCAGGGTGGTGTAGCAGTTAGAGTGTCGGGCTAGTTTGGTGTAGTGGTTAAGTGCGCGGACTCTAATCTGGGAGAACCGGGTTTGATTCCCCACTCCTCCACTTGCAGCTGCTGGATGACCTTGGGCAAGCCATAGTTCTGATAAGGGCTGTCCTTGAAAAAGGGCATTTTCTGTCAGAGCTCTTTCAGCCCCATCTACCTCACAGGGTGTCTGTTGTGGGGAGGGGGGAGGGAAAGGAGTTTGTAAGCTGCTCTGAGACTCTGAGTGAAGGGCGGGGTATAAATCGAATCTCCTCCTCCTCCTCCTCTCCCCCTCCAGGAGATCCAGGTTCGAATCCCCACTCTGCCTAAGCTCCTTTGTGGGGTAGCAGTGAGGATGAAATGGAAGAGAGGAGGACAGTGTCAGCTGCTTTGGGAACCTACTGAGTAAGAAAGGCTTTGTGGTATAAATGAAGTGAATAATAATACCGGATTTGCCAAGCAATTATTATTATGTGTTGTGGACTCTGATGTTAAGCATGGATCAGGAGTCACTGGGTGTGTGTGTGGGGGGAGGCATTTGTGAATTTCCTGCATTGAGCAGGGGGTTGGACTAGATGACCCTGGAGGTCCCTTCCAGCTCTATGATTCTATGATTCTACCTTTTATAAGGTTAGGCTGTTTGTACTGGGCTGGCACAGCCCTGTGACATAAGATGCTATCAGTTGCCAAGGCCAGGAATCGCACCTGAGACCTTCACAGCTAATGATTTTTTATTAAGATTTCAACAAAGTACAACACAAAAAAAAAGAGTACACAAAATTTAGAATTAAGACCATAAAGAAAACAAAAATAGAGTGTATCTCGATTTTCATGTATGACTGGTACAACTCAATTCTCTATTCACTCGGTAAATAAAAAAAACCCCTCTCTTTTGTCTATAATCCATTTCTCGTCCTCTTATTCTTCAAAACCATAAATCACCAGTTCACATTTTTCTGTTTCATACAAAAACTCCATAAGGGGTTTCCAGTTACATAGCTATAAATGTAATTAACGTATTTTCTCCGACGTATTTTCTCCAATCAAAGAAGCAAGTTTAGCCATCTCCGCAAGTCCTGTCATCTTCACTACCCATTCGACTATTGTAGGTTTTACTGAAGATTTCAATTTCTGAATATATAATAATCTCGCCACCGTTGTCAGATACAGAAATAAAGTCCCATGTGGCTTTTTTTCTAGTTGGCTATCTATTAATCCCAGCAAAAAGCCTCTGGTTTCAGTTGTACATTAATCTTTTAAAGTTTTTCTGAATAGCAGAATGTATGTGTATCCAGAAAGCTCTGGGCACCTGAGCAATGCTCCCTCTAAGCTGCTGAGTCTTGTGAGCAAAAGTTCTACTTTGTGAGCGACTGACATTAAAGTTGTGAGCGAGCGATTTGGCTGCATAAATTAGTTTGCTCTGGAGCCATCCTTCCTTGAGCTAAGGCAAAAATGTGTGAGCTGGAGGCTGAAAAACTGTGAGCTAGCTCGCACTAACTCAGCTTAGAGGGAACACTGCACCTGAGACCGTCGGAGTGCATATGTAAGAGCGACCAGCTATAAAGAAAACATTTATAAGGTTTACCATCGATGGTATTGGTCTCCAGATAGGATAGCAAAGTGCCACACTTCAGCATCGAAAGTATGCTGGCAATGTACAAAAAAACATAGGGACCTTTTTCCACATGTGGTGGCAGTGTGAGAAAGCTAAGAGGTATTGGGGACTGATACAAAAACTTGTTGCTATTATGAAGTTAAACATGGTCCTAACCCCGGAAATAGCTCTATTGAATATGATACCGGAGGATTATATAATAAATGACAAATATTTGTTAACATATATAACGACTACTGCAAGAATATTAATGGCCAAATACTGGAAACAAGATAGAGTCCCAGCAAGACAGGAAACACTAGCTACGTTGATGGAAGTAGCAGAAATGGATAAGCTAACCTTAATTCTTCAAGGGAAAGATGAAAGCGTATTTGTTAAAAGATGGGAAAGAATATATTGACTGGATTTATACTAGATAGGAAATCTTGACTCAAATGTAGGAAAGAATGTAAACGTGTAAATGTTAAGTAACATGCGATGACTGGAAAGACGAAGATATGTTAATGTGAATCACGATGGAAAAGCGTAAATAAAGAAGTTTTTTTTAAAAAGAGTGCATAGGTGACCGCACTGCAGGAGAGGGACGCGTGCAAAGAACTCTGCCCTCCCTTTTGCTGAGCAACAGTTGATCCAGGCCCCTGTTGAGTGTACGGTCTCCGGTTCTCCAGTTATTTCCCTGCGTACCTGGATCCAAGCACGTGACAGTGAACGTGCACAATGCTCATTGTCTTCCTCATCCCATTTTCTTTTCGTTGAGTGAAGTGAAGACCCTCCCGCTGTCTCGTGCGCCGTCCACGCTTTGTGTTTCTGCGCTTTTGTGTTTATTTCCGAGCAATGGGATGCGCTTCAAGGAGAGGAGCGGTGAAGAACTCCCAAGGTGGGGATGGGTTCAGGTCGATGGCCCTTGTGACTTTCTTGGAAACAACACCTGCGTCATCGGGCTCCCATTGAGTGCCCGGTCTTCCGTTTCATAAGTGAAGCCCTTCAAGCAGGGGCAGGTATAAAAGCCTGGCTGCCAACGGCACTCCACCTGAGCGTCGGGATCCCTGTGCCTGTCCAGGGGGGGGGATCGGCCTGTGTCCCCGAAATGGGCCTCTTCCTTCTTAACACCGTCCTGTGCTTCATCAATATAGCAGCAGCCAGTATCTTTGGTAAGTGAATCTCGTCAGTGAATCTCTGTGCCTTTTGCTTCTTTGCACCTGTCTTCTAGCCTTGGAATTCAGGTCTAACAACGATTATCACGTCTCCCTTTGCACAGTGTTCCAGGTGGAGTAGTAAATACACAGCTAATCGCAAGTAAGCCGGGTTTAAATTCTCTGTCAGAGTTCCAAGAATCACTTTTAGCCTAGAATTCATCACTCGTTGAGGCTTTTGTAGAAAGACGATGCACCGGAAATGCAAAAACTGTTTCAGGCGCAGGCACGTGAACAGAGCCTAATCCTTGGAGATCGCCACTGTTGTAACTGAACTGCAGAAAAAGCTGGCTAGGGAGCAAAGGTCTAAATCCACCTAAACGCTAGACCACAGAAACTCATGTTGCATCTTCAAGGTGCCGCAAGGTTCTTATTTTACTGTAACAGGTTAACCTAGCTGCTCAAATAGAATCTAATTCTGGCTATGGCTCAGGGATATGGGTGTTAGATAGGCAGATAATATTGTGAATGCCTCACACGCTTGTCATGGGTAGAACATAATTGTCAATATATCAATATCTCTAATTTTCAACATGGCTCCATCTGTGGGGCCACGGACAGACAAGACAGATCTTTCTGCAAAACAGAAGCCCCAGGTTTACAAAAGAATCCAATATCTTTTTTTAAAAAAAAGCTGGCTGGATTAAAAACCTAAAAAACAAAAGCGTTGTTTGTGGTTTTTAAGAAATGAATGTCCTCTGTGGCTGTTGCTAGGCAACCACAGCAGTATTGCCAGCCTTCAGTCCTTGGTTTCTATCAGTAAAGGGCAAGGGTGGGTGACAGGCCCCTTTCCAGGACAATAGAAAGAGTTAAGAGTCCAGTGACACCTTAGACTAATGAAATTTGTGGTAGGGTGTGAGCTTTCATGAGTCACTGCTCACTTCTTCAGATAGCAAGGGGGAGAACCAATGCATTTACCAAACTGGGGAGGGAAACGGGAAAGGCTATGGTTGCCAGCCTCCAGGTGGGGCCTGGAGATCTCCCAGAATTACACCTGATCTCCAGATGACAGAGGTCAGGACCAAAGTGGATAAACCGGACTGTCCCTAGTTGAGCTGCTTGGATTGGATTTAAGGGATTCTGCTGCCCACCTGCTACTGAAGATAACTTTGTTGCCCCAGCCAGTGGCAGAGGCAGATAAAGCTGGCAAGTGGCTATGCCTCTTGATGCACCAGAACTGTGCAAAGGAAGAAGTGAATGGAGGGGGCCGTGGCTCAGGGGTAGAGCATCTGCTTGGCACGCAGAAAGTCCCAGGTTCAATCCCCAGCATCTCCACTTAAAAGATGTGGCAGTGGGTGATGGGAAAGACCTCAGCCTGAGACCCTGGAGAGCTGCTGCCAGTCTGAGTAGACAATACAGAACTTGACGGCCACCAGCAGGGAATGGGGGATTGGGTTGCCAGCTTCAGGCTGGGAAGTGCCTGGAGATTTGGGGATGGAGCCTGGGGAGGACAGGGACCTCAGTGGGCTGCTGCAGACAGACACAGCTACCCATCTTGATCTATTTCCGGGACAGTTTCACTTTTGAGGGAGAATTCATTGCGGCCCAGTGACTTGCTACCATGTGGTATGCTAATGAGTTCCTGTTGTTGGGTGTGGCCTATTATGCTAATGAGTTCCTGCTGGGCTTTTTCTACAAAAAGAGCCCTGCGAAGGAGTCTTGGAGCAGCTTGCAATCTCCCTCCCTTCCTCTCCCCACAGCAGACACCCTGTGAGGTAGGTGGGGCTGAGAGAGCTCTGAGAGAACTTGTGTCTGACCCAAGGTCACCCAGGTAGCTTCATGTGGAGGAGTGGGGAATCAAACCCCCGTTTTCCAGATTAGAGTCCGCCATACTTAACCGCTACACCAGAGGGTTAGAATGAGGTGCCAAGAGGTTGACCAAAGAAACCAGAGGTCAAATCAAGCCATGAAGTGTGACCATGAGCCAGTCACTGTCAGCCTAAGGCTGGTTGTGAGGATAAAACGAGGGAAGGAAGAACCAACTTCAATGCTTTGATGAGAAGAGGTGGGATAAATGGGTTGGGCCTTGGTAATAAGGGGTGCCAGCTCCTGGAAGGCACATAGGTGGCAAGGGATGGGGCCCCAACAAAAGGTGAAGGCTGGTTCAGGAGCCGTACCAATTGGGACCAAGGGGCGGTTCTCAGGGGGTCAAGGGCTGGGGCCCATGTGCCCAGGGACAGTGCTCAGAGAGCAAGGGGGAGAACCAATACAAAACACCAAACTGGGGAGGGAAACATATAAATCCAATCTCCTCCTCCTCCTTGATGGACCAAGGATCTGATCCAGTGCAAGGCAATTTTTTGTGTTAAATTCAATATAAAGGTGTGCTAGATCTAGTCTTGTTAACATGTTGACTTGTCCCTGTCCCGTACACTTGAACAGCAGGTAGGATTAACAAACTCCAGGTGGTGGCTGGAGATCTCTTGGGATTCCAAGTCCTCTCCAGGCGACAGAGATCAATCTGGAGGAAATGGCTGCTTTGGAAGCTGGGCTCCATGGCACTATTATCTCACCGAAGTCCTTCCTCTTCCTAAGCCCCGCCCTCCTCAGGCTCCACCCCCTCCCAAATTGCCAGGTATTTCCCAGCCTAGAGCTGGGAACCCCAACAGCAGATGGCCGGTGTGATGTATTCAAAACTGCTAGGATCCTAATCCCTCCAATCCTATTGGTAGCCCAGGAAGAACAAACCAATCACGTGCCAGCAAGCTCCCTGAGAGGGAACGTCTGTGATTGGACTTTATGTACACAATCTCATTGGTTGGTATGTGTATAGTAGGCGTGGCTACATTAGCCGGGAGAGTTTAAAAGCAGAACAGCTTCAATGCAAAATCTGTTCTGGCTATTCATGTTGATCTGTTTGGAGTTGAGTTACGAGTTGCTAAATAAAGCTGAAATCACTCTCTGACTCTTGTTAAGTAACCGACTTAACAGCCGGCAGGAAAAGCTTTCCCTCCAAGGTCTTTTTAGCCTATATTCTTGAACAATATTTGGTAAAACTCCCGTTCCGTTCATCTTACAGAAGAGAGAATTTAGCACATGAGGTTTTCTGTCAGAGGACCGCAGATATGGAGGAGAGTCACAGTGCCATCCTGAACCAGGGTTGTCAACCTCCAGGTGGGGTCCGGAGATCTCCCAGAATTACATCTGCTGTGCGGATGATAGAGATCAGTTCCCTTGGAAGAAATGACCGCTTTGGAGGGTAGGCTACGGCTTTAGGTCTCACTGAGGTCCCTCCTCTTCCCCAAACCCTGCCTTCCACAGGCTCCACCCCCAAAATCTCCAGGCATTTCCCAACCTGGAGTTCACAACCCCATCCTAAGCAGATTTACAGCCTGATATGTCCACTGCAGGCAATACTTAGGACCAGGGGTCATTTCGTAGAAAAAGAGGTGCAAGAGCTCATTAGCATAACTTATTTGCATAGGCCACACACCCTGACATCGCCAGAAGTATGTCAGAAGGCAACACCCACCGCTTAGGCTCCACTAGACTGTTTTGGATTGCTAGCTATGGGGGGGGGGGGAAATGTGCAGATCTGCCCTCGCAGAGGAGGGAGAGCTTGTACCTGAAAGCGGGCCGGGCCCCCCCTCTGCAACTTACCTGGCTGCCTCTTGCTCCTCGTGGCCCGACTGAGGCCTGCTGGGAGCAGGGGGCGGGCCTTGTTGCATGTACCCGCCCCCTGGGCTCCTTACTGCCGGAGCTCCGCTCCTGTGCGCTCCTTCAGGAAATGACCCCTGCTTAGGACTCAGCGTGCCCTCTAAGCTGAGTTAGTGTGAGTTAGCTCAGAGTTCCTTAGCCTCCAGCTCATATATTTTTGTCCTAGCTCAGGGAGGGCTCCAGAGAGCAAACTAATTGATGCAGTCGCCAAATGGCTTGCTCACAACTTTAACGCCAATCGCTCACAAAGTAGAATTTTTGCTCACAAGACTCCGCAGCTTAGAGGGAGCAAGGCTTAGGACCAATGTTCCCTCTAAGCTGTGGAGTCTTGTGAGCAAAAATTCTACTTTGTGAGCTACTGGCATTGAAGTTGTGAGCGAGCAATTTGGCTACTGCATAAATTAGTTTGCTCTGGAGCCATCCTTCCTGAGCTAAGACAAAAATGTGTGAGCCGGAGGCTAAAAAACTGCGAGCTAGCTCACACTAACTCAGCTTAGAGGGAACACTGCTTAGGACTATGCTGTTACCAGTTTGGTGCAGTGGTTAAGAGTGGTGGACTCTTATCTGGAGAACCGGGTTTGAGTCCCCACTCCTCCACATGAAGCCAGCTGGATGACCTTGGGCCAGTCACAGTTCTCTCAGAGCTGTTCTCTCAAGAGGAGTCCTCTCAGAGCTCCTTCAGCCCCACTACCTCACAGGGTGTCTGTTGTGGGGAGAGGAAGGGAAGGCTATTGTAAGCCGCTTCAGGACTTCTTTGGGTAGTGGAGAGCGGTGTACAAAACCAAATCTTCCTTTTTACCAGATTTCCCCCCCTTAGAATCATAGGCTCATAGAGTTGGAAGGGACCTCCAGGGTCATCAACTTCCCTGTAGAATGCAGGGCAGTCA